GAAGCAGATATAACAGTAAGGCGTGCCAGTGCTTAGTAATTACATCAATAATGGTTAGGATCATTTGGCACTTTCCTAGCTTTCATCGTAAAGAACTCATGGGCCCCCCGTGCATTATTTCAGTCACGAGCAAAAACCCGAGTGGACCGCAAGCTAACTTATTAGCTTCATCGATCACATAAATGATTCCAAAGTCTCTGGTGGGATTCAAGTGTTTTGTCTAAAACCCTCTTTTCAGACAAGATAGAAGATCTTATTACAGTAAAGTATCCATTTTTTAATAGTAAATTGAAATTAAATTGATGATCTATATTTATTTCATTTTCAAAACATCCAAACGGAAAAACAACGATGGTAAATGATATGGTTTGATAATTTATACAATACATTCATTTTCCGTCAGCAAAGTACTTAAGTTTTACACACACACATGACACAAAAGCGTTGGAGCGTAAAGAGATGCCTGTCCGTAACTGCTTTGATATTTGTTTATACATTTGTATCTGAATGAAAAACACACCAAATTGCAAAAATATGTTTGTAAATACCAAGACATTAGATGGTACATGTCTAAAATAATCGCTATACCTACAGAAAAGCTGTTGAATATATTGCTAGATAATGTTTTATTCTGTGCATAATTCGCGTACGTTAAATATCAAATGCATTTTTATTTAACTTGACACAAGATATGATCATAACGATATAGTAAGCGCAAATATGGAAAAATATACTATGTCAGACATATCTCTACAACCTTTAACAGGAAACATAAATTATGATGTTAACTATTTCAAATCCAAAGTTTTCTTCTCTCCATTGTTATTTATCATTGTTAAAAAGACATTCAAAAAACAAGCTGAACGTTATGCGACCCAAAACTTCAACGGACTAACATTTACGTAATGTCAGTTTTTTAATGCATGATTAAAAAAGGAACCTGAACAATTTTTTGAGTCAGTATTCTAATAGTGCTTAGATGTGTGCGTAAGAATTCCTACTTATAAGTAAATGAAAAATGCTCAAATATTAGAAGGAAAAGAAACAAAATGATCTGATTATTTGTTACCATTCTTAAATTTATAGACTTATTTAGTGTCATGTCTCCTTAAAAAGTAAATTTCTATATTGTACTTTCGTTTCATTTAAAAGAAGTCCATATGGGAGTGTTAAGAAATGGCTCAAACAGCGGGAATGCAGGACGTGGCAGACAAGAGACCAACAATGTCAATAGCACGACAACTTTTCAGATGCCATACAATTGTTCTCGAAAGCTTTTTATTGAAGGCATCGGATTCATTGATATATCCATTGTAAATGGTAGAGAAATCAAACTTTTTGACATCGAGTTTCGTAGCAAGCTGAAAGAGAACGTTTCCTTCTCATTAGAAGATAGAAAACTAAAGGTAGGAACACTATTAAAGGATATTTATTGTTTATGTATATTCTTATATTATGGAAAGTTAAACTTCCACGATAGCAAGGAAAACAAAAAAAGTATAGGTTGATTTTTGGATTAGGCGGTCGTCATAATTATAAAAGTAACAAAACTGAATTGCCATACGGGACAGTTTATTTTAAAGCTGTGGATATTAAATTATGCCAAAATGGGAACCCGAAAATAGATCCCTCAAAAATAAACTGACGAAAAACACTTTTAACACGGTCAGCCGTCTACTTGTTAAAAAGCAATTAAAGTTATACATTTCATATTCAGATTCAACCAAGTTTTTACACTACCGTCACTGATAAGGAAATCGACCCCGATCAAGATGTGATGGTCACTACCAAAGTAACGCAGGGAAATTTGACTATTCGTTTGAAAGCTGGAAATGGTGAGATTTTTATATGCATATACATGTACCTGATTCATACGGTCATCTAAAATCCCTTACACATGGACTGAAAAACCAACAGTTTTCGTTGTTATAACTAAATGACATGTATGTTATTTTGCAAACCGTCTGACGAGTATCCCGTAGCCCTGGTATCTACATTTACTTCAACTTTAAAGTTGAGTACAAAAGGAATCGTTTAAAAATTATTGAATATCTTTTGTATTGTCAATTATTGAGAGCGTTATATATGGGTATACTTTTCTCCATTTTATAAAAATAAAGTCCTTTACATTTACCAATTACTGTAAATGTATAAAACTTAGATCCATTTTATTACGAAGAATACATAGTTGTGAGTATAGTATCATAGATCAAGATTCAGGACAAAAGCACTTACAGAAGGCAAAAGATCATTTGGCGAAACTTATTTATACTGCATCCAATCATTTTGAATGCATTTTGCCGAATATTTAGTCATATACGTGAAGCTCATTTTAACAATTTAGTCATTTAGTCATAAATTTCAGGAAATGTCTTGCTACATCAACAAACTGAAATATCCAACACGGGTACAGATTTGACACAAGACGTGGCCAGGACAAATATTGACGAAGACGCTGATGTTGATGATACAGTTCTGGCATTTGTCGAGGTTTCATCTCCGGGCGAAGAACATGCCGATATGACAGACGAAGGAGCAATTGCAGCTGCATCTAAAAGCATATGTGCACCTGAAGGAGATAAAAGGAAGAGAGAAGATAGCGTTGATGATGTTGATAATGATGAAGACGACCAATTCTTTGAAATTGAATAACAATACTATGTATTTATTCAGTGATTTCTGTGAAATCTTGGCAAGTTTTAATATTTATACTTCCCCTCAATGATTTATATTTATTTTATTTCTTATCCACATCAGGCATCTGTACAATTTTGGTGATATTTAAATATGTACTATCTTAAGTGTAAACTCCATAGAGCCATGGGAAGTCCATAGAAAAATCTTCATAACAATATACATTGATATTATCCTCAAATAAGTCTTAAAACAAACTGAAATTTCCATCTTTAAAAAAATCTTATGTCCTTGAAAGTTTTTTTTCGTTACATAAACGAAACCAAGAACCGTACCAAGGAAATGTAAAGGCTTTTGTTTTGTAATTGTAATACCAAATTTATGCCAAATTTGTTTACCTAACATTTTTGGTGACCAGGCTTGATATGGTAACAATTTGAAACATACAATTAAATTTTATTCTACTTTATATATAATCAATGTAATGTATTGTTAGTTTAGAAATGAACTTGATGTTTCTCGGTCATTTGAAGCATTGACTATGTCTGTTTATGCATGTGAATGAGGTAAAAAAAATTGCAATTGCAAATTGCGACTTTTGTCGTACGTAGCTCAAAAAGTATTTGACCTACGCTCTTGAAACTTTACAGGAAGGTTGATCAGCATGTGTAGTTGTGCACCTGTGTATTTTCGTGTGAATTTATTTAGTATTTGTATAGTTATTGGCTTTGACTTAGTGAAAATTTACAATTTCAAACTTGTGTTGCACATTACTCAAAAGTATTTGACCTAGATTCATGAAACTTTACAGGAATGTTACTCAGCTTGTTAAGTTGTGCACCTGTGTTTTCGCTTGTGGATTTTTTCTGTTTTGTCAGAGTTATTGCCCGTGACTTAGTAAAATTTTGCAATTTTCAACTTGTGTCGCACGTAGCTCAGAAAGTATTTGACATAGAGTCATGAACATAACAGGAATGCTGCTCAGCATGTGAAGTTGTGCACCTGGGGTTTTGCATGCAGATTTTTTCAGTTTTGTTAGAGTTATTGCACGTGACTTAGTATAAATTTGCAATTTTCAACTTGTTCATGCATAGCTCAAAAAAGTATTGGATCTGCAGGCCTGAAAGTTTACAAGAATGTTGGTCAGAATGTGTACTTATGCACCTTGGGGTTTGCTTGTGGATTTATTCTGTATTTGTAAAGTTTTTGCCCTTTAATTAGTTAAGATATTTTTCTAATTGTAAAACATGTAGCCCAACAAATATTTGACCTTGAGTCATAAGATTGACAAAACAGTGGAGTGTTGGGACACCCGTTTCCTATCGACACATTTCTAGTTCATGACTGTGTCCGTGGCCGAGTGGATAAAATAGTTGACTTCACGCCACTTGCCCCCAGCACCGTTGTGGGTTCGAATCCTGCTGGGGGGATTTGAATTTCTTCATGTGAGGAAGCTATCCAGCTAGCTAATACGGAACGTCGCTGGTTCTACTCAGGTGCCCGTTCGTGTGTGAAATAATGCACAGAGGAGTGCCCGAGCTGAAAAGTCTCCATATCATCACTTCTTTGTTGTTGAAAAGTAAAATCCAACAAACAAAAGTAAAAAAATAATATAATTGATATATAGCACTATTACAGGATGCTTAAATATATACTTTGTATAATGTGCAAATAACTTGATCTATATGTTACCAAACTCAACATTAATTGTTTTAAAATTATCAAAAGGATAGTTTCCCCAAGAGCTAAGAAAATATAAGCAAAAAGTTGAAAATTGCAGACACTTGTTTTTCTGAATCTGTTAATGAGTCTCACCCCCCAGCACCGCTATGATATCAAAACATCATATTCATTGTTGACGCTATGTTTACTCTGTCTATATCAGCCAATAAGAGTCGTATTGTATTCATTTAAAAATCAAACAATTTGCTTAGAATAAATACATATTTAAGTTATCAACTTTATATTGATCGATGTGACATGGGTAAACATGTATGCATATTGATATGCACAATCATTACATTATATTAGTATTGAATTATTCAAACTTTGAATAATTGATTATTAGTATAATATGCTCTACTTATTGTTAAAGTATACGTATGTATTATATACATGTATAATCAACCTAAGATAATATTCGTGCCAAATTATTTTTAACTTAAGAGTAATTTGACACGAGTAAAATATGCGCTATTTATTGTTTAAGCATGTGTATGTATTATATACATGAACAAATGTAGTTGAATGAATTAACATTAACACATATTCGAATGATTCATTACAAACTATGAATAGTTTGACACAGATATTATATTTTTATACAAAGTATTTACATGTTTTGCACATTGTATATTATATTCTGTTTGAATAATGATTTTGTTAAGAAATTTGGCATGGAATGTACCCATGATTAATAGTTTCAGAGTTTATAGTTGCTTGATAATAACATTATCCAGGTCGAATATATAAATTGATACGTATTTAATACTAAAAGAATCCATAAAAATGTACGAGGTGTGCTGCTTTAACCATTGTACACACATGTTTATACAATGTATTTATTCGTCCATATTTATAAGCAGTTGTTTTTGTACTATTAAATAAATATTTGACGTAATCATTACTTGTCTTTATTTTTAAGTCTACCCGGATCAAGATTATGTACACGAAAAGGAAGAAATGTTGTTTAGAAAATACTTTTATTATTAATCACTATAAATGTATGTATGCCAACGATTTCCTATTATGATTATTCATATATATATATTTGAGTAATTCAACAAAAAGTATGAAAATTATGTAGAACTTATTTGGTATTTACTACTTTCGTATTCGATTTATTTGTAACAATAGTTTCGGGGATGGATCTTATCATTTTGTTATCATTAATAGATTTAAGTCAACATCTAGCCTACTCCATTTTCATGAAGTGGGCAGAAATCGGATGTTATGTGGGGGTTATCAATTATCTACAAGAACATCAGCTTTGTTCAATCGTGCTTAAGGTAGACCATGGGTAATGCATTACCTCCACTTTGAAGAGTATTCAAATAGGCTAGAATCACTTGCCAACTACATTGAAATTGAGGGGCATGGGTTTAAACCTCAAAAGGGGCAACTTTTTTTCTTTCTTTTTTTCTTTTTAACATTATTTATGCATCTGTCTGATCCCTTATGATTTGTTTGTTTGTTTCATTTTACGCCTTTTTCCAACAGTATTTCAGTCATATAGGCGGGTAGTTTCCTAACCATCGTTCCAGGAGAGTTAACCAGTCCTAGACTACCTTCCTCCGCGCTGAACTACCAAAGCATCTCCCGGGGATCGAACCCACGCCAGAGAGGTAACTGGATTAAAAGTCATCGACTCTAACCCCTTGACCACGGAGGCGGTCTGATCCCTTATGGAAGAAAAAAGTGTTTGATTTGAATTATATAATTATTGTAGGTATTTATTTGCTAAATATAATGCCAAAATTTATAACAAATATGATACCAGATATTTATAAAGTTCAATTAAATAAAAACTGCATGGTAAAAGTATTTTATATTTTGCATGATCAACCAATATACCTTTGAGAAAATTTAGGGAAACTTTGAAAACAGCCCCTTATTGTGGTAAATTTTAGGGATATTTTGAATATGGCTTTTTATATAGGGAAATGGTCAAATTAGTGTTTAAAGTGGGTGGGGTAGGGTTACATTTTTATACATATTAGGAACATTTTGTTTAGAAACAAACATTTTGCTTGTGTAATTTGTAACCCGAATGTTATTATTTGTTTCTTAACAATGAGCAATAGCAAAACACTTTTCATAATGATGGTATTATAGATTATTTAAAGTTTCCTCATTTCTGAAAATAAGCCCTTCTAATGGCAAAGTCTTAGTTCAGAAATATATCCATAGCTCATAAACCAACCGTAGATCTTATTTAAAATTTGCATACAGTGATCTTGAAGACATAAAACTGTCCTATGTTGTCAATTTTACAGTTCCTTTTAGTGCCCATTACCCATGGTCTACCTTAAATGTGGCGCCATGCCAAGTATTAAGTTATTATCCCGTAGTATTGTCATGCGTGACTCACTCAGTCAATACATGTATACGGAAGCCTTGAAAATAAAAATCATACAAAACATATTTATGTAAGATTCAAACTGTCTCTGATCGAATTTTCTCCAGCCTACACCAAAACCTCTGATAAAGAAAAAGATGCCCAAAGGCATGAACATTAGCAACACATTTTATCTTACTTAGGTAACCGTCATTTTCATTTGGTCAAAGTAGTTAAAACGGTTAGTTGAGAATGACTTTACAGTAAGTTATTAGTTGTGAAATTATAATTTATAAATATGTTTTCTGATTTTAAGAAATTCATCTCTATCTTGGCATCAGATCAACATCTTTACATTAAAACTATTAACAATATTGCAATGTTTTTATTAAGTAGATAATTCTAAGATTTTGAAATTCTTACTCTTCGATTGCAAAACAATAAGTTTTTATGACAATTTACAGAATTGGCATTAAAGTAGATATGGAATCTGGAACATTGTCTTGTTTGTCACTCACTAGTGAGGAAGATGGAACGTTTAGATCAGAAAGTATTTCTATCTCGCCTGATGTTCTTTCTTTCGAGAATGGTTCCAAACTTTGGCGCACAGTGCAGGAAGGTGGTGATTTAAATATTAATGTCATTGGGACTGGAACCAGTATGATTTCTGTACAAAACGGCAACTTTACTACAATACCTCTTTATTTTCTGAACATCAGAAACAAATCGACCGTACAGATATCCATAAAGTTGACAGAAATCGGTGACAAGGTATCCAGATATAAGCATGTAATTACAAATAAAAAATGTACATAAATTTAAGGCATACTTGGGCATACGTAAAATATGCATACTAAAAAGAATTATAAACCACTCCACATAGCGTGCTGTCGAACCAAATTGAATGTTTCACCATTTCTTAAAAGAAATACTTATTTGTTGTCTGAAATGATTTAAATAGATTTAAAAAGTTGCGACTTTAAGTTTCATTAATGATCACAATTTTAAAACAATTAAAGAACAATATCAAAGATGAGTATACACCATGCGACTAACATTGCCATTTTTTCAGAGACTAAACGCAATGAAGATTATATAGAAAATAAATTCATGATATGTTAATGATATGTTATTTAAAATAATTATGTTCTATGAATCAGGTAAAGGCTACCTTCAACAACGAAACATTTGAAATTCAAGTGGACGCTGAGAAGAAAGTTCAGATCGAGCTTTTACTTCTTACAGGAAGTTTTACAACTGTTATAGCAAAAGAAGGTATGTTATGATTATTTTCTTTGTCTGGATGGTTTTCAAACATGTAACTCGTTTATTTCTCTGTCTGTGAAACAAATCAGTCGCCTTCATGTTTGATGTGGTTCATACTGCAAATTCACAATTAATTGTCAATGTTGAAAGCATTCTGTATGCATTATGTAAAGGATAAAGTACATGCATAAGAAGTCTTTAATTGATTACAATCAAAACATTGATGATGATGATGATTATTATTATGATGATGATGATAATGATGATGATGATAATGATGATGATGATGATAATGATGATTGTGATGATGATGATGATGTTGATGATGATGTAAACTAAGTTAACTTTTTTAGGTAAAGATGTTTACAGACAAACATTTGAAGAAGTTCCCGAGGAGAACTCGAACGTATGTTTTACAAATGAGACATGCTTAACTGATATATCTGACGTAGTAGAAAGTCATTCTGCAGATTCAACGAGAGCAAATGATCCTCAAGGTGATAATATGTGTAACAAAATATACAGTGAGAAAGATGAAAATAGTTTATCAACATTTAATGTAGACAAAATTTTCAACTTTAAGATCAAAGATACCGGTATGATTAACAACGTATCTGACGTTAATATAAATAAGGGTGTTGATTACAATGGAATTTGCGATGAACTCGGAAGCAATGATGAGACAGAAGTATTGGAACCAGATAAAGAAATCAACTTATCTTTTGATAGCAGTGATAGCAACGCAAATGCATTTTCTGTAGACGATAAAGACGAGTCCTTACTTAAAGAGCCAGGACCCCTACCATGAATTGAGAAATAAAAAACAAAAGGCGCTAAGCAACGAAACAGTTGATATACGCAGGAACATAACTGAATTGTTGAAGACCATGCGTTCTGATAAATTAGCCGAATACTTTTTTGAGCACTCTTTAATAAGTGAAGACACTTGGACGAAATAAGCGAATATGTGAAGAAAGACAATATCTGGGGTGCAAATTCGTGTTTTCTTCGAATACTTCGGAATAGACGCAAGCAATAGAAACTGTGCTATCAATTGCAGAGGAGCCTCATTTGCTGGGCCTTTTGTTTCCGATACAATCACAGTTTGAAAGTGCTTCCACTCAAACTGACGACCTTTAAATCAAACATACTGATGGAGTAGAAATGATTAATTCATTAAAAATACAATAAGAAGCTCTATATCAGAGCTTGCGTGAACAGTTTTCCTTTTCAATTCATATTCATATTTTCTGTTGTACACGTAAAGACGGGCAATCATTTTAAAGACAAATTGACTTAATAATCATATTTTTTACTAAAAAGTGACTCGACTTGACGTCTTAACATACGCCGCAATATTCCCTTCTTAATGAAAGCAAATTTGTCTTGAAAATGATATGATCGGCATAATTTTGAAATGTGCTTGTTAGTCTATTGTAATAATTGTCTTCACAACTGACTTGTTATGACATATTTTATCTCTTAACAAAATTGGACTGTATTTTATATCAGTTTAAATATGAACTGCCATGTTTTAACCTATATTGAGTTGCATTCTGTATTAACAAGGTAAATTCTGCTAATTAGTCCACTCCGTAATCAAAGATAGCCTCTAGACAAATAATATTATAAAGATGCTCACTTTTTTTTTGAAAACCTATAGTTTTTACCTTTTAATAGTGAGCTTTTATTAAAGCTGTTACTATTGGCAGATTTTACAGTTGATATTATGTGATGTTTTAATATGATTTTTTTTAATGTGTACTGTATTTGCACATATATGTGTATATATTTCATATATACACATACATATGCCCATAACATAACAGAATATGGTTTTAATTGTAAAATATGTATGATATGCAGGCTTCATAACCTCTGATACCCTTTCAAAATTCCATTTTCTTTAGTTCCACCCATTGTTTTCTCGTTTAGGGCACACGCATTTTTTTACTTAGGGACCATCGTCTCGATTTTTTCAGGGAATAGACATATACACATACAATGTTATCACATATATCAACTTGCATATATATAAAAACACACACATAAAATGCAACAAAAATAATTATAAGATTAATTAATGAGTATGTTTTATGTAACCCTAGGATTGCCCATTAAGCTAAAAGCTTATTCCAATTGGGTCCATTTACTGTAAAATTATTACACTAACTTACATAATAATAAATGAATTATAAAGAAGTTAACATAAATGACAATTTTCAACAATCAAGACACATTTTTTCAATATAATAAGACAAGTACATTGTACACAAACAAAATGAAATAAATTTCGTTTAAACTAAAACATATCAAGTACAACATAAACATGTTACAAAACCTTATCATAAGTTACACATCAGTTTAAAAATAAATAAACATATTATTCACTTGTTTATCATTTTCATTACTTAAAAAAAGTTTTTTATATGCCGTTTTTCATGGAATGGCACTTACGTGTCGCATTGAAGGTTCCATGATAACCGCCATATGAACACATCTGCGGATGTTTCAAAATTCGAAATTGTAACAATTCATGTTAAATGTTGAATTCTGCTTAAGCCGGTGCTAGGGGGCGTGGACGGTAACTTGCACTTTCCAGTACCGTCCATGAACAGGCTCAATCAAACCGAGCCTGCAACATTTTCAATGTTACCGTGTTGGGCTTTCTTTAGGGATTCTAATTTTCTCTATTTTAAAATATGGCTATGTACAATGTAATGTTTATCTTTTATGTTGAAATATATGTAACTGTACATAACTGAGACTATAATAAATAAATAAGAAAAAAATAGTTTATGTCTCTAACATTTGTCTTCGTTTGTTAATTATATACCTCTAGTTTTATATTACGTTACTTACCGTATAGCTAGTACAATACCCGTATCATAGTTTGATACATAATATTTCACAGTACATAGGGTCGAAACCAAAACAAAGTCATGTTTAAGAGTATAAGCAATGACATCATGTTTGAATATTTTATTTTAAAACATTTTTTATTAATAACAATCATAACATTTCTAAAGTTGTAAAATATATAAACTTTCATGGATACCATTTCTCAACGTCAGTGTAGATTTCTTCATTTTTGATATACTAGATCATATCTATAAATATAGTAAGGGTTTAGATAATTCAAGTCTATTATTTTACAAGCAAAGACTATCTTAAAATAATCTATTCAAAGTTTACATAAAAAGAAATTCTAGCGCTGTTGTTAAAAGTTCATTATGCCTCAGAAACTAATACATTTTGTTTTCTTTAGAAAGGGCAAACATGAATTTTATAACGTATTAATAATGGTTTTAGAGTTATTATAATATGATACATTCTTTTAACCTGAAGAAAGTAGCGATAAATGAGAAATTATTTGTCATATACAAAGCAAAATGTTTTGACATCCATACAAAATACTAAATCACTATAACTATAATAATTTCCAACAAATTTTGCTTCAGGTAACTGGCCAATGAGTAACTTTTCTTCGAGACTATAGAAGTGCACCAAAGCTTTTGAGAAATAAGAATAAATCATTTCCGTGGCATACCAAGCCTTTAAGTATAAAATTAACAGCATTAAGTTATTTGTAATCAGGAGCAAAATGATATATTAACGTATTCAAAAAATTTAGGGGATACATATGTACATACAAAATCAAGAACATTTTGCCATTTATTTACGAGCCAAAAGCTGTTGCTAATGTCGTCAATTATTACAGTAACAAATTACAGATTTATTTTATGCAAAATGGCACAAAGGTTGCTTAAGGAGGTATGAAATGGCTGTTATAAAGATATCAAATACATGTATCAAAAATATGCAAATCTAGTTGCATTATAACAAATGTGTAAATTCGATAATATCTTTTATTTCAGTAAAAAATGGATATTTTCCCATATATATTGAACAACAACAACAACTACAACATTATTTACTAGTATTTCAAATAAACAAACAAAAAAAACTCACAAACAAACAAATTTTCTTTCGATTGTATTGACTAAAAATAGTATGTTGTACCTGTCTTATTGAAGCGAGGAAAACAGGCGTACGCGAACAAAAATGTTCAAGTTTATAAGTTTACAGTCATTAATGCGATTTTAAGTGACGTAGATATACTAATCGAGAAAATGCCAAAAAGAACAAAACGAAACAATTAAATATTATAAATTAAAAAAACAACAATCTTTTTTATGATATTTTTAGCAGACTACAATTTTTCCAAGCAAGCTAAGGGTAAAAAAAAATTTCCCACGCTCTTGTTCTTAAGCCAATTTACGGAATTTTACATTAAATTCACAAGCTTTATCATTCACAGTGAGTGATATGGATTAAATTTAAATGATGAATATATAAAATGGCGACTGAACATTAAAGATATCTAAACATTAAAAATATCGGTGCAACAGCTATAACACAGTCGCGAAACAATTATCAAACAATAAAGAAACAGTTATAATATAACTGCGGAACAGATACATGTATAAGATATAAAATATTGGACAGCTGAGAAAGAATTAGAAAATATACGGTGAGTAAATGTCAACAAGACATAAATGTTCACTAAGCTGTATTTTTTGTTTTCACCAGCCACAAGAACGGAAATTATAGTACCGGAAAGAAAATTTCAAACTCATTATAGATAGTCAATTCTCTTTCTGATCAGTTACTTAATGATAAAAAACAAGAACAAAATAACGGGCAAAACTAAAACAAATGATAAACATTATCTGCCATTTCAGATGGAGCTATGTACTAGAGCACGACTTTGTAATAAAAGCTGTGACTAGAGTTGAACCTAAAACAAATCTTTCAGATGTTTTTGTTCAGTTTCGTCAAGTATTTCATCCATTTTTGATTTTATAACTCTCTTTTTTGATATTATTAGAAGCAGCTTTCTATTACCTGAATCTGGAGTGGACTCGGTAGTTATTTCTTGGTATTCATTTCTTGTAATTATCTCCCTTTCGAACAATTTATCTGACAACGGAACGCAATGCATGTCCTTGATCAGGTGAGTGAAATTTCGACGCACATTAATCAGTCTGTCATCTAATGAGCATATTCTAGTTGGTGCAGATATTTGCCTAGTCATAACGCCTTTCCCTGATGACGACGGCAATGAGAGGGTATTACACGCAACAGCGTTTTGTAACGTCTGTGTTATTTTATTAACCTTTTCATGAAGCAGGGTATGTTCGCATTCAAGGGCAGGAAGTCGTCTGTCTGTAGTATTCTCATCAACTGTTTTCACTCCTGTAACCTCAGAATAATGACTCACTTACCTTTTCAATTCAGTTCTTTGTTGGTGCGATAAAAATGGATCAATTGAATTTTCAGCATTAACGTTTGAAGGTTCTCTAACGGCAGAATCTACAACGTTGGTATTATTACTAACACCGGTTTCTCTTCGTTTGCTTACTGTTACAGTAGTCCTTTACAGTTCTAAAACAACGCAAACACTGCCGTCACTACCATTACTTAGTGTCTGCTCATTGTACTTGCTTGATGCAGCCCTATAACCAACTGTTCTTTCATTGATCAGTGTTACAAGTATCTTTCCTTTACAATCATCTTTTTCAAATGTTTCCAAATTAGTTGTTGGTGGCTCACTGGCAGAAACCGGACCAGAGTCAAACAAATATTTAAATTCCTTCTCTAGGCCTTCCGGGCTTCTTTCATAAACATCAAACTTGACGTGAAACCGACTTGGTTCACGGTCTAGAAGTGGTTCACACTGAAATGAAAGCTCTTTACCTATTGTTATCTTCTCTTTAACATAAAACGTAGAAGATGGATTGAACA